AAAAAAAAAAAAAAAAAAGAAATATCAAGTTAGTTTAACAGGATTTATTTTCCATAAGCCCACATTGATTTGCATTAACTATATTACGCTACTTTAATTCTTTATTAATTGAGTCTGATATCAGACACTGCATTATCTGGACCAACTGGCATCAATGTTAGACTGACAGGCCTATAAATATCCGGATCATCCTGTTTACCCTTTTTAAATATTGCCATTACATTAGCATTCTTCCAGTCTTCTGGGACTTCCCCAGTGCTCTAAGAAATATTGAAAATCAACATTAATGGTCCAGCAAGGTAAGCAGCCAGCTCTTTTAAAACTGTGGGATGCAAATTATCTGGAACTACTGATGTAAAAATTTCTGACTTTAGTAGCTTCTGTTTAACACCTTCCCCAGATACTAGTGGAATGGACAAGTGTTAGCATCACCATATAAGATTATATCCCAGTTTTAACCCCAAACAGAACAGAAATATTTATTGACCACTATGCCTTTTTTAGATTATTATTGATAACTGTACCATTTCCATCTAGTAACAAAACCAATACCACTGTCAGGATTATTTTTGTTCTTAATATATTTAAAAAAACTCCTTTTTATTGTCCTTAACTCTGCAGGCCACAGATTTCTCCTTATGTCCCTTGGTTTTCCTCAATAATTTTCTACAATTCCTAACTTCTGAATTATATTCATTACTATCAACTTTCCTTTTCTTCCATTTGTTTTACACACACACACACTTTTTACAGCTGCCTTCAATTCACCTCTAAACCAGTAGATTGTTAACTAATCTGGCCTTCTTCCTCCATTGTGGGTTTTGGGGCATCTATTAAGGTTTTCTTAAATGATTCCCAACTATCATTCACATTTTTCTGATGAAAATCTTCCTCATGGCTGATTTGGCTCATAACTGTTTTCAGCTTTGTGAAATTGGCCCTATTATAAGCACCACACGTACATACTACTGGTCTGGACTTTATTCTGCTTGCACATTATAAATATGATCAAATCATGATCATTTGTACCTAAGCCAACATTAATTTTTCATTCTGCAATCAGTTCCTCCTTATCCCTTAGGACAAGGTTTAGTAAAGATTTCCACTTTGTTGGCTGCAACATTTTTCTATTTCTACTGGCACAGATAATTTTCTTTTGATGAAAATGATCAAGTGCTTTCCAGATCTAGCAAAATTTGTATTTTTTTCCCCCAGTTTCATCAGCTGTACTGATCTATAGTAAATTAGTACTGAAAAATTTTAGGTTTAACACAGGTTTGTTTGGTTGATTTTTTTTTTTTTTTTAAAGAAAAAATGGAATTAAAGCACCCCAACACCTACTTTTAAAAGGGTCTGCAATGGACAGGTGTAAGTGTTTACAAAATGACAGGAAAAAGTCTATTTAGATGAAAAGAGAAGAATTTACCTCACTTTGCAGTTGCTTTTCCAGAAGTTGTTTATGGGTTTCAAACTCATCCTGTTCCAGCTTTTTAGCATGTTCAACTCGCCTCAATTCTGCCTGGCAGGCTACATGTTCAGCTGATGGTTGAGTTAACTCTTTCATATAAAAGAACAATATCAGGAGATATTTTATAAGATACTTAAAAATGCACATTCACTATTTATAACCACCCCCTGGAAACTTAAAACTGAAATATTTTTTCCTGACTACAATAGGTCTCAAATAGTAAAACTTCATTTGTATACACTTTTTGGGGTATCTGTTTCTTCTAGAGACTGAACTTTGTGTCCCTCTCTCTGGGGCAATTATGAGCTGGGCAGAAAGTTTTCTACTCTGCAAGTTATTTATCTGAATCAACTTGTTCCTGTCTTATCTAAACCTGAATGTATTGCCCATCTGTGCTCTTCAAACACAACATGTTTTACAAATGCAGATGCATTACAAGACAATAGATTATTATTCTACAGAGATCAGGTCTGTAAAACAGTCATTTGCAGAAGCCTTTGTCCTCTACTAACCACACTAAATAATGCTGTGGTTGAAAAAAATGGGAGATGAAAGGAAAGAGAGGATATTATTAACAATTAGTATTTTTGTATTTTAGTAGCACATGAATGCAGAGTTCCATTGTGCAAACAGTGAGAGACTTCCATAAAAGTGCTTACAATGTAACTTTGACAAGACAGAGGAATGATCATTGTCCCCATTTTAGAGATGGGGAAAGAAGACAAAGATATTACGTGACTTGACAGAGATCACGCAGAAAGTGAGTGGGAGATCTGGGAATTAAACCCAGATTTACTAATTCCTAGTCCAGTGCTGTAACCACAAGACCAACTTTTGGGAAGTGAAACATAAAAATCTACTATAGTTAAGGACTTGTGGTCCTCTGAGGGGAAATAGACAAAGAAAGTAGAATTGACCTGCTTTTAATCATTGTTCCAAGAAGTGTCCAGGAACACTAATAAAAAAACATCACCCAACACTTGTGATGCTAGGAACTTTGGGAAAAACAAAGATAAATGAAAAGACAAACAGGGACAAGCAGGAGCAAAACCAAGTATTATAACAGTTTTTGAAAGCAGTGTGCTAATTTCATATATTCTTAAATTTAGTAGCCTTTTAACAATCATGAAATAAAGTGTTTATTTTAATGGAAAACTATTACTAAACCTTCTGTAAAATGAGGAAAGGAAAGTTATAAAATATGTTAACACTAACTGTCTCGGAAATGCAGGTTTTCATTGCGAGTCTCCTCCAGTTGTTGTCTAAGTAGTTTATTTTGCACTTGAAGCTCCAGTTTCTCTTCCTTTAACAAGGGATAGTCCGCAATCTCTTTCAATTTTTCTGTCAACAACTGATTCTGTTTGTTTACCAATAACACCTGCGCCTTTACTGAATCCAGCTCCAGCTAAAAAACACGTCACAAACTTCTTAAGGTATTTCTCAAGAAACTCACTTTGTACCGCATATTATTCCTGAAAAGGTATCACAGAACAGTTCAAATGTACTAATCAAACAGTGTAGTCTCTAAATTCAGGCTCACAATTACCTCAAGTTCTTTTGCATGTGATACAACTTGTTTGAATTCTTCCTTCTTTGAATTAACAGCAATGGTCTCTTCACGCAACAGTATAGACTTCTCTGTAAGGATCATAAACAGTTTCTGCAGGTTAATGTGTATCTCACACCAAAAACTACATAAAAAGAACATTAAGATTGCAAAGTCAAACACTCAAAAGTGAAGAAAAGCCAGAATTAAGGTTGCCAGAGCAACCTTAATTTGGCACGTTTGTGCATATGCATGATACAGTCTTTAATTACATGATTATATACTATTTTTTCCAAAGCACTCTAGCTTAGAAGTCTAAAGATGATCCTCTCTTTCTCCAACTTCAATTAAATATACTATATTTGTTTAAAAATACTGCTTTGTTGCCTCTTATTACAAGCTAAAAGATAAACAATGGCTGTTGAGTATCTCCGAAAGAGATTAGTTACCTTTATTCTTTTTCTCATCTTCAGTAACCCTAGTGGTTCTGGCTATATATTCTTCCTTCAACTCGAGTTGATATCTAAGGTGAAAAAAAATTACTAAACACCAAAGCAAAAGAATTCTGAATGTCCCCAGACTCAGCTGTAACTACATATCAAACTGTCTATATGCTAATTACAGTGGAACTTCATCAAAGTCTTGACCTGCGAATGCTGAGTGCCCTCAAGTCCCACTAAAATCATGGAAGCTGTGAGTGCTCAACACTTTTTAGGAGCAGGCCCTAATTAAATTGTAAGTATTCTGAGGCAGTTATCCTATCTTCCTGTATGTTTGTACAGTGCCCAGGTCACTGAGGCCCTAATCGTGATTGCAGTATTAGAGTATAAAAATAAACAAATCCTCACTTTTCTGATCGCTCACTTTATGATTTCCACACAAAAAAGAGCAGTTTATCCCCAGAACTCAGCAAAGATTAATGGTACTGAATGCAGTCAATATTCACATTAAGTCTTCATTATTTTTCAAATATTTTACAACATATTATATATTATAATTGAAACTATACACTTGTCAAAAATGTGATTTTATAATCCAAACTGAATTACTCATAAGTCTCCCAACTTCTATATACAAAGTCAACGAATTTCTGTTACAGAAAATGGTTAATCTGAGTTCCATTAACTGTATGTGTCTATTTTTTCTTATGTTTGGATTTATAATTATTCTTTCCCTCTACGTTTTGTAATACCTAATAATAGCTTCCATACTTTAATTTTTGTATGCCACATTTTAATTGTCAGACAGGATCCTAGAGCTATTGATAGACAGCTAAATAAATTTTGTAGTAAGTAGATACAGACAAATATCTTCAGGACAGAGATGGAGTTTTCCTGTGTGTTTGAATAGTGCTTAAAACATTTTGGACACTACTGTAACATAAAATAACACTCTCCACTAAAATAGTCCCTGTTAAGATCTGAAAGAGCTCTACAAACATTAACAAATGAAGCCACTAACCCCTATTTGTGAGGTAGGTGCTCTGTTTAGCATTTAGTTACTTTAGTATTAAATAGCAATTTACTAGATAAGTAAAACAAGGCACAGGGAGATTACGTTTGCCTAAGGTTGGTTGCTCAGTGACATACATCTAACTGCCCTCTGTTCCTAATCTACTCTCTTTCAGGGGACACTTCATTCTCACTGAAATCCATTGCCTTACACCTTTCCTCTACAATTTGAATAAATCCATGTTAGAAGAGACAGTGCTTGCACTGTTCATTATTAGGTAATAAGTCCTGGCTGAACTTGTGGATAACCAGGTGTTTAGCTGGTGAGCGGGTTTCCGCCCTCCGCCTGGGGGGCTGATTCATTTCATTCTGTGGGCATGAACAATCATGTGCTGGGAGCACTTTCTGCAACAAAACGATCAGCAGGCCTCAGATGACCACTGCTCACATCACAAAGAGAGAGTACAAAAGAATCTCAGGCTAGGTGACATCACTTTCCACTGTCAAAAGCCCAGGAAGGGCTGCAGCTGATGCCATATACATCTCACTGCTCACTTAGATGCCTGTCCTGGCTGCTGGCCACCAAACATGAAAACTGCAAGGAAAATACACAGACAAACAATATAGGCCTCTTCCTCCATTGTCCAAATAAATCAGACCGTGACCATAGCCCAGCAAAGAAGGGAGGAGCAGAGAACACTGCTTATCCTACCCAGTCTGTGCAGCCCATCAAACCCTGCAGCCTTTATCCAGGAGAATACTCGACCTCTTCCCAATTCTTCAGCCCCAATGACTAAAGGGAGATATGAAGTTTTAGGGTCAAGATGAATATATTTTAGAAGTGAAAGTCGAGATGTTATTTTTGGGGTACAAATTGATTTATTTTGGGGTACTGCTGAATTTGGAGGGGAAAATTTTGTGAAGAGATATGGATTTTGGGTTGAGGAAAAATGGATGATTTTGGAGCAAGGCAAGATGAATTTGTGGGAGAGAAAGATGGGTCTTGCTGGACAGAGAAGGATTTTTTTGAAGGGAAAATAAGCTGGTTTACAAAGAACTTTTCTTTGGTTATTTTCAGGGAGGGAGCCAGCAGAGAGGGATGGCCTATGACATTACCAGTCTGCACCAAATAGCTGATATTTCAAAAAATAATTCTGGGGTAAGAAAACCCCTTTACATTTCCTTTTTAAAAAAAGTGTCTCATCCTGCCCCTTCTGCAAGTAACCCATGAAACTCCCTTAATACTGGCTTCATACACCTTGCCTCCTTTCAGTTCTTCAAATTGCTCAGTATTTCAGCACTGCTCATAAGAGATCTCCAATGATACTTTTCATCTGCCTGTTCAGCAGCCCTACAGATTCATGTCACTTTTTCTTCACAGATAGGGAGACTGAAAGTGTGAATTTTTAAAATTCTATAGCCTTATGGACAGAAGAACGTCATTACATATAGTGGGTTTTTTCTACCTGTTAGAAGGCATCATTGTTTTAACTCTTTTGGTTATGAAATCTATTCATCACACTTTATAAGATAAGTAAGTCACAAACTGATTAAAATAAAAATGCTAAGTGTTATATATTCAATTCTTGCTTTTTTACAGTACTCATTGGTAATTCCCATGGCATTTTTAACATTCTATTTTCATGTGAAATATGTATTCTTTATTAGAGACAAAAGAACAAATTACTTCAGTAGTTCATTCTTAAGCTTTTGGTCGTAAGTCTCCTCAATGTTCTTCACAGCTATCTCCCGACGTCGCAGTGCATCATCAACAGCTTTATTTTTTTCTTCTTGAAGTTTCTGAGCACTGATATAATGAGAAATATACTGACACTGAGCAATTATATTTATGACATGCCAGAGTTTTCAGGAAGTTTTTTTTAATCACACAACATTTATGAAAGTGAAAAGTGTGATGGGTTAGCTTGGGGCAATTTAAAATTCTGATCAGATCTATCATTATCATTCTCTAAGAAAAATGAAAAGTGACACATACTAAGCTGTACCTGTTAAAGACACAGACTGATCAACTGTATAAAACAACCAGATTTCCAACTGCTGAAAACTGAAAGTGTTACAGGAAGGATGTTGTTTAGTTCCTCAGTTTTAGAAAGGGTGCTCAGCTCACCACTCTATCAGCACCCTCTGCTGGCTAGAAAAGAAAGTAACTTTTGCTAGTGGGGAAAAAGCTTTCTTTTTTCTTGCCTACAAAAACACAAGATGCTAACAGATTAGAGAATATTGGAAAGCAGGCAAGAATTAGTTTGGGTTTTTTTAATTACAGAAGAAAAACACATTTTATTAAATGTGCACTCCCAGTACGTATCATGGCAAAACCAACATTACAAATGTAAATTTGTCACTACAGTTGCCTTGTTGGTGCTGGGATTACATACTGCTTTTTAAGTTAATGACTTCAAAGCAGAAGTCCAGTTCCTCAGTCTCTCTGAAGTAGTGCCAGGCTCTTTTGCTAAGAACAAAATAGGCCTCTTAGCACAGGACGCCCCTACTGCTAGATGCAGCTGCATGATATTACTCAAATGTAGCATAACATATTTAGAGATAAATAAAACAAATTTCAATTTCATAAAAATTGCAACATCTTGAGACATGCTTTCTACAAACAAAGCAACACCACACGTAAATGCATGACTTAGAGCAGGGGTCTCAAACACGCGGCTCACGGAGTTATTTCCTGCGGCCGCCAAGCTCCCCCCCCTACCCCCCCCAGCGCACCACACCCCTGCTGCTCTGCCTACCTCCAGGTGCTTTCCTGTTTGGCGTCGCTTAGTACTTTCGGG